ATCACGGCTCAATACATATCCACTCTCCCACCAGGGCTTCTCCTGGTTAAGATACAGTCATGGAAGGGTTCCCGGAAAGATGGGAATAGAAATACTGTATGGCCCTCTGGCGCCTCCTCTTGATATATCCTAGAGAAATACGAGCCATGACATGAACCTGGTGCATGCCACACCCAAGTGGGCAATAGCTACAGGAGGGGAGCATCCTCACTGCCCACCTGTGGGTGGGTGGATGCACGTGGTACCCACACCCACAATGCAATGCTGTGAGATGTTAGAGTAGCGATGCATCTGCAGAAGACCTCCTAACGTGAGTGACCTCGCTGCCCATGATGCCGGGTCAAACTCGCCAATCCCAGGACAAGCATTGTACAAGAGCACAGTTGTAACGAGTTCAGAGGATGTTTGCACTCTAAAAAGATTCATTCTCTCATGGTGACCCGGGGTGGGAGGGCAAAAGAAGGGAAGTCCTTGAGCAGAACCTGTAAGGATCATGTATCACCGTATTAAAAAGACAGAGCCACAGAAAAGCAATGGCCCATCCACCTGCCTCCTATAAGGGTTTAGCTTCCTTAACGCCACCCCATAGAGGCAGGGAAGTAAGTGATGGATGGAAGGAAAACTGTGTCTTGTCAGTAGAGTGTCTCCAAGGGAGTGAACCAAGAGAGTGATAGTGTCTCCCGCCTCCAAGAAGGAATTCGGGATTTCCCAGAATCCTCAGGGGAAGGCCAAGCCCACACAGAGGCCTCATGGGCTATACAATGATTAACAGCCTAGACTCCACCCCTACACTCTTAATCCTCAAATTGACACCAGATTATGTAACTACCACAAGTGTCCTGTCAGAAAGATGCTTCCCAAGCAGGACAGGCCTTGGACATCCTAGGGTGCAGGCCAGAGCAGAGAACTAGGAAGATTGCAAAAAGACACTCAAGGACGCCGGAAACTCAGAGAGCGAATAAAGAGTCAAGGGCCTTGGGGACGGCTCCAGGTTCTTTGGTATGAGGGATAGTCCTTCAAGAATCAACTACTTGCATTGTGATGAAGAAGCCCTTGAACCGCGCTCTCTTTCTCTCTCTCATACACACACACACACACACAGCCTTTCTGCAGTTCACCCATGGGCCCAGAAAAGGCCCATCCCACTCCTGACGAGTGGTGGAGGGTAGGACAGGGTCTTCATCGGCCATCTGAGGCCTTGGCAGCAGTGGCATTATCCAAGGTTGTCTTCCTTGGCAAAACTAACGGGAGAAAATGAGTGCTCATCACACAGCCCGGGACCACGTCGTCGCTCTTGGCCAGCTGCAGTTTCTCCCTAAATGAAGGAGGTTGGCCGGTGCAGGGGGTGGTGGTGGTAAAAGGAGCTGGGGTTGAGGAGTTCGAGAAGGAAGAGAATGTTTTGAAACTGATTGTGGGAGCGATTGTTCAACCCTGCTTGAGGCGCCTGAGCTGTGGAACGAGATACCCGCATTAGCTCCCCATAAAATGGTATTGAAATAAAGGTTTCTAGTCACTAGGGGAGGGGTCTTGACAATATGTTAGTCTTACAAAGGGACACCTTGGGCGGTTTGGCTGCTTTAAAAAATCTAAAAACCTTTTTAAACGTTTAATCAATTTTTCACTTTGCTTTTACACCAATTTCTCACAACGCATCAGAATGGTTGGAAATTTACAGCACACTCGTTCCCTGCGCTATTTGCATAAATGTTCAAGGGCAATAATTGACTAGGATGCATTTTTGGTTGATGGTGCTTGCCGCATTTGAGATGGAAGGTCTGATTCAGCGAGTTGGAAAAGCATGTGTGGCAGACTGGGGTGTTGGCCTTGGCCTGCAGTGTTGAGTTTTCTACAGCTGGGACCTACTGGCTGGTTCCCACCACCCACCTGTCAGCGTGTAGGACTGCGGTGGCCTGCACGTGGCGGTGATGCTGGAAGCCATGTGGCTGCTTTGTTGAACATCAGCAGGGTCAGCCACGGTGAGCAGATTTGAGCCATGCCTCCAGGAGGAAGGACTGGCAACCTGTTTCTGCAAAGCAGCCAGTGGGATCCCCACGGGTCACCCCAGAAGGCTGCCCCCGGAGTGCGGGAAGATGAGCCCCTGGCTCAGAAGGCGTTCAAATGCACACAGTAATCGCCACAGAGGGCCCGGGCGCAGCAGTGACCCTGGAGATGGGCGGGGTGGGCACCAAGGCACGCTGTTGGACATGGCGGCACCCTCAGCCGGAGCCGGCTCAGCGCCAGCCGAGACAGTACCTGTGTGGGCACCTGTGTTATCAGAACAGTGAGCAGTAAGGCACAAGCAATGCTTCTCTAAGCTCAGGATGAGCATTAGGTTTCAGACCCTCACTGCGACTTACTGCCACGGAGTCGATGCCGAC